GGCCTTTGCCTCTACCACGCATTATTCCACACCACTCCCACGTTTTTGGGCAGGCCTCCATCCTACAACCCACCTGCTCACTCTGGAAAGCCCACATGGGCGATACGGCCTGGCCCATTAGATATTATTTTTACAAGCATACCATCAAATTCGGCAAAACGTGGATGAAGCGCTACATACCTGATCACACAATGGCCATCTTTTTTTGGCCGACCAGTGGCACTTACACAGCAACCACTTGGCATCCACTACAGCACGTTCCAGCCAAGAAGTCAGACAACTTGGTCCCCACTTCTTCACGCTGCTCGACCGCACCTTCGCCAACGGCACCGTTTTCTCCGTTTGCCACCCTCAGCCCCTTCATGAGCTACTGTTTGAATTGAAGCGTGCAGTTCCCACCACTCTGCGCAAGACATACGCCTGGGGCTTCAACTGGACCCCTACGCCTATATCCTCCCAAAGGAGTCCAAGTTATGGCAAGCTGCTCGACCCATCGTCAGCTACAGCAACACCTGGTACATTCCTTTAACTTCCTCGCAATTTTTGAAACCATGCGCCACACTCTGCCGGCCCACCTGGCGACCACGGACACGAAGCTCATCCTGAAGACGCTCCACTCCAACCTCACCAAAGCACCTCATGTGTCGGCAGCAGGACATCAGCGGCTTCTTCAACTCCGTGCACGACCGCATCAATTTTTGCATTGAACGTCTCCTACAGAGATTCATTCAGCAACAACACTTCCCCGTGGACTACCACTTCAGCGTCCAGGTGCAGCAGAAACATCGACTTTCTCGTGTATTCCGAGGAGCGGCGGCGTGAAACATCTTCACACGTCTTCCACCTCTCCCACGCGCCAGAGTTGGTGCGCCTGGCTCTTTTTACGAACACTGCTGCGTCCGACAACCTCAAGTTTCAGTTGTCACGGATTTGCGCTACGTTGACAACCGCTTCGCGCACCACATCGCAGGCGACAAGTTACATTGGCCATGGCGTTTTTTTCCACCCTTTCTTCTATCGACCACCCCTCCTGCTTGATCACGTGGACTCCGAGGACGTGATGGGTTTCCGCATCAACCACTCCAATCATTCCATCTTCACGCAGGTTCCCACCGAGACGGACAGTTTTCGTTCTACTAGCTCGGCCTGTTCTTCAGCAGCGGTTTTGTCAGGATTCCAGGCACGTGCCATTTTAGCATTTCGCTTCACAAGACACCGCAAGCGCCATCCAGGACACCATCCAGCAGCTCCAGGCGCAGTACTTGCGAGCCGGCCTTCCGCGTGAGTTGTGAGACCCGGAAACTCGAATACCGTTTTCATGTGCGCAAAACAAGCGCCCCCTTTTGCCTTTTGCTTTTGGTGCTTTGGTTCGTTCCTGTTGCGCCGTTTGATGCAACTACTCAACACACTGCCTTCATTCATGTTGTTCAACCGGGTCTCCTCTTCACGGACGCCATGGTGTGGCTTTTCACACACCAGACACTCCGACGTCACGAACACCTTTTCCTCGACGATGACTTTCCCTTCTCCGTTTTGCGTTTTCCAGCCGGGGACCTTCGTTTTCCAGCGGTTTCCTGATGTCCGAGAAGCAGCAAGTCGATCAACTTGACCAGCTAGGGACAACATCCTCCCCTTCGGCGCAATCCAGGCCTCGTTCACGGTCTCGTTTCACTTGGTCCTCAACGACCACAATGAACCTTTTTGTAGATTTTCCTAGTGTCTTTCAGTTCTTGCTTGCCGCGGTTGGTACAAAAAACGAGCCTGCTGCGGACTGTCCATTGCGGCCCCCGAGAATTGTGGCTTTTTGGCCTCTGTTTCGGCAGTGAACTATTTCTGTTTTCTACTTCATGGAGTCTGCCCATGCCAGCAAACCGGCCCCCTTTCTTAGCACCTCGTCGCGGGTAGTCATGGGCACTGACGAGCAGCCAAGGCGAGCGAACAGATCGGGAAGGTAAGCTGACGAAACTCCACCTTATTCTCCAATTTCATTACGACTTCAAGGAACCCTGGACTCTTTCGTGTTCATGCTCGGCCCCCTGGTCCAAAGTCCCGCCTTAAGTGGCTCACGGAATAACAGGCCTCATGGCATCTGTGTGTGTGTGTGTGTGTGGTGTGTGTGGTGTCTGGTGTGTCTGTGGGTGGGTGTGGGTGTGCGTGCGTTGTGTGCGTGTGTTGCGTTGTTGTGTGTGTGTGGTGTGTTTGTGTTTGTGTTTGTGTTTGTGTTTGTGTTTGGGTTTGTGTTTGTGTTTGTGTTTGTTTTTGTGTTTGTGTTTGTGTTTGTGTTTGTGTTTGTGTTTGTGTTTGTGTTTGTGTTTGTGTTTGTGTTTGTGTTTGTGTTTGTGTTTGTGTTTGTGTTTGTGTTTGTGTTTGGTTTGTGTTTGTGTGTTTGTGTTTGTGTGTTGTGTGTTGTGTTTGTGTGTGTGTGTTGTGTGTGTGTGTTGTGTGTTGTGTGTTTGTGTGTTGTGTGGTGGGTGTGTTTGTGTGTGGGTTTGTGTGTTTGTGTGTTTGTGTGTTTGTGTGTTTGTGTGTTTGTGTGTTTGTGTGTTTGTGTGTTTGTGTGTTTGTGTGTTTGTGTGTTTGTGTGTTTGTGTGTTTGTGTGTTTGTGTGTTTGTGTGTTTGTGTGTTTGTTGTGTTTGTGTGTTTGTGTGTTTGTGTGTTTGTGTGTTTGTGTGTTTGTGTGTTTGTGTGTTTGTGTGTTTGTGTGTTTGTGTTTTGTGTGTTTGTGTTTTGTGTGTTTGTGTGTTTGTGTGTTTGTGTGTTTGCGTGTTTGTGTGTTTGTGTGTTTGTGTGTTTGCGTGTTTGTGTGTTTGTGTGTTTGTGTGTTTGTGTGTTTGTGTTTGTGCGTGTTCGTGTGTGTGTGCGTATTTGCATGGAGCCGCTGATGCTGACAATCTGAGAGCTTGAATTGGCAGAAAGTGAAAACACCCCTGATCCAAATGGCGTCAGCCGCCCTTGTTCCACCCTTGCTCTGGAAACGAGATGAATGAGTTTCGCACCTCTGGGTGCTCGCCGTCCACCGCCCCGTTCTCCCATACCGGCCAGCTCCAGCAATCGCGGCCAAATCCCTTCCACTGTCATCTGAAACGTGGGCGCTAGTTGCTTGCAATAGGTAATCAAGGAGCTACCGAACGCACAGGTGATGATATTGGCCCCATCCAGTTTCTAAGTATCTGTGCAACATCAATCGGGGTTCCACCGAGAATGGGCACTGCTTTGCTGGGTGCAATATGTTGGAGAGGGCCCGCAACGGTGTATTGGATTGAGGACGTATACTACTTCGCCGGCGCTCCAGTTGGTCAGAAGGCGCCTTGGATTTCCTCTTGGAAGATGGAAAAGGCACAAATGAAGAAGATAGAAAGAGACGAATGAAGGGGTTCAGACACTGCATAGGCAACTCCAGAATTGGTTGCGGATTGCTTGCAAGCAGAATAGTGGCATGAGCAACGGTTTGCCAGGACCATTCCCATACGACAGCCTATGAGTGAGGATGGCCAGATTGGCCCACGGCAATGTTTTGCCGAATAGAACTTTGTGAGGCACAATGTTGCCTACCAAAGCAGCCGCATTCTTTCCAACGTGTTAGTTCACTCACATATGAAGCACCAGTGGCTGATTTGAATTTGGCGAGATTTGTTTGCTACAAATCGAGCTTCAACGGCTGCTCCCAAAGCAATGTTGCAAGCATTGGAACTGTCAGCCACTGGACCTTAGCTTCTTGTCAAGGACGGAGAGACGGAGAGACGGAGACAAGCCTCGATGTGTCACAGACACGACACACTTCAAGACTTCAGGTGGGCATCAAAGATGCGTGGCTTGACTCATGCCAGCACCTCACACGTGCGACTGAGCTTAATGCTGCTGGATGCGAAACCAAGATGAGTTGGCTCTGGCTTGTACGCCATATTGTGGTGTTAATGATACTCATTTCTAGCCGTACAGGTTATTCTGATATTGTCTGATAGATGTTTCGGCTCTCGATTGGAGTCGGGGCATTTGGAATCCCAGACCACCTCCGCCGCCTTCAGAGTTTGCACTCCTTGCACTCCTCGCACTCTTTGCACTGCTTGCACTGCGAGAGGAAAAAGCAGAGTCCAGCAGCTAGAGGGAGCTGAGCCGGGGATGGGACAGTCCCAACATAGGTGCGGAGATCTCAGATTTGCCCTCTGAGTTCTTTCCAGCAGGTTTTGGGCCTATGTTGGGTTTCATTGTGGCTCAATTGGCACGAGCCTTTGGCAATTGGTGGCCCTGCCAAGGCGTCAAGGGGTGGAGAAGGCGAGCGAGTACTCTGAGACGTTGGGGAATCGAGGCATCAAGTCTCAGGGCTGCTTGACATGTTGAAACGTATTTGCTGCCATAGCTTCATGATATCCTTCTCCAGCTTCATCCTGAGCTGTGATTTGACAAGTGGGTATATGAGTCTTCCAATTCAGCTCAAGAAGGCACGCCGGCAAAGCACCAGCAAGCCTTTGCAATGCACGCAAAAGTGGAAAAAGGATGAGAAGCAGATGCTTCGCCCTATGACCTAGGCGATTCCCCTGCCAATTAGCAAATGGGTGGACAGGACACGTCAAGGGATTCGGAGGGCCCGCAAGGGGTTCGCGCCAGGACACTGTGTGCTGAGTTCCAGCTGCTTGGGGAGGCTGAGTTCTGCATTGCAAGCCTGCTTCCAAGCCGCTCCAAAGTGGTCCCACAGGTCTGTGAGATGCTGAACCGCTCCGGCATAGATTTGACCTCCCCCGAGCCCGGCACCAAGAAATCCAGAGTCCATGTGAGGCTTCGGAGGGGTAGATCGTTTGTGAGACAAGGTTGCGCTACTCGGTGAAAGGCTGCCTCAACCTGTATCTCTCAGAGCCGTCCTGCGTCTCATGCATTGGTGCCCTGGCAGAGATGTTCCGAGAAATGTGACGGGTTTTGCGAACCCCTTTAAAGGGACAAGTAAAAGGCACGAGGGTCCAAAATCGGGTTTCAGCACGGGTTGGGTGTGGGCCTCTCGGCTCTAGCATTGCGGGACGGCTCATACGTCTCAGCGGTTCCCATGTCCTCATTTGGAGGGTTTTCTGCTTTGCGGTCGCGGCAAGCATACGAGGCGGTGTGCAGAGAGTTAGAATTTTCTTTACAAGAACAAATCCGGAAGGCGGTGGAAGATATCGCCGAGTTTCACTTGCTGCTGGCGCAGCCGAATTTGTCGAAAGGCATCGGAGTGAAACTGCCGGTCAAAACAGATGAGCAAGGTGACAAGGAGATGCCATGGCAGTCAGAGCTTTGGAAAGACGATGACGAGCCCCGCGAGCACATTTCAGCCAATGCCGAGGATAATGTGCTACAAGCCCTCAGTGGGTTGCCAGTGCGTGTGAACTTCCGTGCCGACCACCTTGCCGACCAGTTGCATCCAACGCAAACCTTGGCTTTGCCGGACTCACCAGGCAGGCACTCCCCCTCAGATTGGGTTTCTGAGACCAGCTCCTTTTCAAGCCCAATTGCAAGGCACGAGGTGAGGCTGCATGAGCTTTGGGCACAAGATCAAGACAGCATCAGCGCCTTGGATTTGGAGTGAGAGACTCCATGCATTTCCTTTTTGTTTGGACAAATGGGGCTTGCGGGTTCCGGTTGCAAGTTGGGGAAGCGCCGAGGTTGCAAGAGGCTAGTGAGCCGAGACAGCTCAAGGAGGTCGCGACCGAATTCGAGGTCTCGCTCCTTGATTGAAAGCCACGACTGCGGCCCATTTGAACGCATGGCCTTGAGGCCGGGCTCGGGTAACGACTGAATTGAAGGGTTAGGCATGAGCGAAGGAGGCAGGCGGCAAGCCAAACCTTTGCGCCAACAAGCGAGGAAGGCTGGCTTAGGCAGGTTCAGGCTCAGACTATGACCAAGCTGATGTAAACACAATAATTCGTGGCAACAAGCTGCTCCTAGAGAACAGAAGCAACTTGAGAATTTGCAAAAACTTCGAAGCTGTTGCTCAACCAGGTAACAGGCATCCAAGCACCCGTTTCCAGTTACTATTGTCCTGAACCATTTGTTGTGTTTGCTAGTTTCTGCGTTCGTTCCCTGAGGCCGAACAGCGTGATATGTCTTTTCTGGGACATCGCTTGCTTGCTGGCGACGATGCACGACAGCGTGATGATCCCGTTGCTGTCTTCCTTTGACATTGATCCTGTCGGGGCACCGAACGCCATGGCCAAGACCAGCGGCATCATTTGGCTTTGCGACATGCTTGTGTCGTTTGTTCGGGGGTTCTTGAATGTTCGGACAGGCCTTGGGTGCAAAGTTGGTTTAGTTTTTGATTGATACATCGTATATGAGTTCTAGAATTCGCTCTCGCTTTTGCAAGGGCCTGTTGCTTTTGCCCTGACCAGGCTTTGTTGAGATGCGCCTGCCGCACATCGCCTACAATTACATTACAGGATGGTTTGTGCCTGATCTTGCTCTTCTCTCGCTTGATGCTATGTCAATGTTTATGACGGATCTTGCCACATTCGAGCACTTTACGCTGTTGCGCCTCTTTCGCAATCTCCGTCTACTGAGATTGCTGAAGATGACAGGCCGTTTCAATTTGATCAGGGAGCTATTCTCCAGCCTGGACTATGCCACAGAATGGGCTTCCGTTCAAATGGAGACGGCAATGAGTGTCCTAAAGCATTTTGGCATTATCCTCTTGCTTTGCCACTTCACTGGCTGCGCATGGTATGCTCTCGGGAACATGGAAAAAGATGGTTCATGGATACAAGAGCATGTAGGCTATCGACAGACGCTGGGGCTCGATGCTAGTGTTGCTTACTTTTACGTCACTGCTTTGCATTGGTCATTATCTCAGTTTACTCCGGCAAGCATCGAGGTGTCTGCCACCACAACAAACGAGCGGATTTTCAGTGTACTTGTGATTCTGGCGGGATTGACATTGTACAGCTTCTTCCTTGGCTCGATCAACCAGTCTTTGAACAAGCTGAGAAGCATGACGGCACAAGAAACCCGCCAGAACATTTTGGTGCGCCGGTACATCAGTGAAAAGAGACTCTCGATAGATCTGGCAGCAGAGATCCTGACCTGCATCCGTCAACGGGGCCTTGGCAAGGCCAGCAGCAAGATTGTCTTTGCTGACATCAAGGTTTTGGATAGCCTGCCGCACACCACACTTTGCAAGCTACAGGTGGAAGTAGGTCTACCCATTCTACAGAGCCATGCTCTGTTCAAGCACTTGCTGGTGCTGGGCTGCCCTGAAATGTCCACTCTCTGCGAAAAGGCCCTGAAGGAAATTAGCACGGTCTACGGCGAGGAGCTCTTCTCAGCGGGAACAATGGGTGATTGCCTCTCCCTGGTCAGAGCGGGGAGATTGCTCTACAAGTTTGCTCACCGGAATGCATGGAAACAGGAGGTGGACAAGGATTCACGTGTCAGTGAAGCTTCTCTTTGGTTGCACTGGGAGTACCGAGGCCAGTTGACATGTGTCGACCAGAACTCGTACCTCTTCCAACTCAATGCCTCAAGCTTTCGGAAGATCATGGGCAGGAGCCAGCATTTGGAGCTTTGTGCCATGTACGCTCGGCTATTTCTTCGGGCACTCCTTGAAACTCATTCCAATGACGATGCCAGTGATCTCTTTGGAGACGATGTCCAGGTGGGCAAGATAATGAAAGTGATTCGATCCTGCCAAAGTGGGGCCGGCAATCTGCTTGCAGCCAGCCTGGCCCCCGTTAGAGTGGCTCCCGCCTTTGCGGCGTGGAAAGAGTGGCATCAAGCGCAGCAAGAGCTTCGCTTGCGTCAAGCGCGTTTCAACAGCTTTTGCCCTGGAATTTTGGTGCTGTGGCACCAGTTGTCAAAGCCAACTGCCAAAGAAGTGCAATGATAAAGCATGCACAAGCGCCGAATTCGGCGCCCCCCGTTTCATTCTTGATGCTTTCCTCAAAGGCCAGTGCATAAGCCCTCGCCATTTGTCCTGACACCACGGGCATGAGGATCGACGAACCATGTCCCTCTGAAGTGGTGGATCCAGAACTGGAGAGTGTTCTCACAAAGGGCACATATTTGTGTTTGTCTTTTAACAGAGGGCTTTCTGGTTCTGCGAGCAGAACACCACGGTCTCGTTCCAGCAAGGCAGCCAGCTTGAATACGCCAATAGAGTCGCCACATCCAAGATGCACGGCGTCACCTCTCAATATTCTTTGCACACGCAGAAACGAGCTTTGCACAGCTTCTTAGTGCTTGGTCGTGGGTTGGGGGGCCGGGGGGGAAAGACACGGGCAACAGAGACCGAAGCTTTAGCTGGAGGTGCCATGCGGCAGTTTCAGACAATGCTGCCAGGTGCGGGTTGTGAGTCGGAGTCGTGATTGCTCGCATCTTGGCGCTAGAAAGGGATGCCATGTTCAGGAGTGGACCTGTTTGTGGAGGCCGGCAGTGACCCAGTCCAGGACTCCAGACGGTTGAAGATGCGCACACACCACTTCAGCCAGTGGCGCATGGCGTGAATCGGATATTGGCTTGCAATAGTCTCTTCGCTCCTGCCCTATTCCCCAAAAAACAGTGGAACCGGTCTGTCTCTTTCATGCAAAACCTGAGGGGGCTGGGTTCAACTTCGACTTGCCAATACTGATTTTTGTATTGCCAAGACTGAGTCTCAGATTCCCAGTACTTAATTTAGTATTAGATACGTTTCGGCCGACAAGCACTTAGACATGTTTTCCTCCATTCTAGTCTCGATGCATAAAACCAGTGGATCCAACACGTAGAAGCGGCCAAAGAAGAGCTAGAATTTGAAGCAAGCACTTGAAACTAGTCATTTCGAATAGAGAATCAGAAGGAACATTTTCCGAGCGAGAATTTGAGGAAACAGCTTCAAACTGATCATGTTTTGAATAGGAATCTGAAAGGGACACGCTCCTAAGGCAGAATAGGCAAAAAAACACTTTGAATTGGTCATTTGCGAACATCATTCAAAAGAGAAAGCTCTCGAGCTAGATTTTGAGGAAAAAGCTTCAAACTGATCCGTCTTGAGTAGGAAAGTGAAAAGGGAAGCGCTCCTAAGAAAGAATCGCCAGAAAACGACTCAAGTTGATTTTTTGATTAGGATTTTGTTGCTCCTTGCATACATTCAGCAGTTGGGGGGGGGGGGTGTTTCTTAGAGTCTGACAGTGTGCAAAACGCCACCTGACAAGCACTTAGAAATGTTTTGGCCGACAAACACTTGGACATTTTCCTCCAGCGTGGTTTCGATCATTTTCGACCAGGGCATTCAGAAGGAACAGCTCCCGAGCGAGATTTGGAGGATACAGCTTCAAGGGGTAAACTGTTTTGGGTAACACTTACAAACGTTTCTCAGTGTTGGTCGACCGAAAATAAGCACCGGAATCTCAGTAAAGGGGGAAACCGTTTCTATATGTGTTGTTGGCCGGCCGAACCGTTCTAAGTGCATGAATTCATTTTTGTTCGATTCTAAGCGTCGGTCAGACATTTTTGAAACATATTCCGTTTCTCATTGTATATAAGGTTTTAATCTGGAATTTTCCCCAATCGTTCAAAAAGTTGCTATTAAAGCGAACCTCAAAACAGGCACATTAAACAAACTCAGGGCCTCTTGTGGGTAACCCCCTTTGCGCCACTGTTTGGCCTTACTTCTTTTCAAGTCAGTTATATTGAACTTGATGGTTTGGGGACTACTTCAAAAAAAGTTCCAAATGTTTGCCCAGTTTGCCGGATGTGTGATTTGTGTGTTCCGTTTTTTTTGGGCCGAATTTAGCTGCCCGGTTCTTTTGCTGGCAAAACTAGTTGTTATTAAAGCGACCCTTCAAGACAGTCACGGGATTCCGACCAAGTCTAGTAGAAGCGTTATCATGAGGAAGTTGCAAGTCAGTGGTGCAGTCCTTTCGCCCAATTGTAGCGCAAAGTTAACAGTAGCCGGGCGCCATTCCCATTTTAACGGCCTGCAAGCGAAGGGAACTCTTGATCTTTTGATCTGTTTGGATTCCTTGAGGACTCTGGATGACCAGCTACACTTGCAGACGCGAGCTTAAAACTATGATCAATTGATCAGTGCTCAATTCGGACTGGTCGACCCCATGATTAATACATTGACTGAGGTGTTCTGGCCGGAGCATGCGATTAATTTGTAGCAAGAATCGAGTTCGCAGCAGTATCCTCAGATGTTGAGTGTCAAGACACGTATAGCTACGCGGCTGCACAGCGCACATCCACATTCCGCATGACGGTTGGCAACAATGCGCATTTGCCAAACAGGCTTGCGATTGAGCGGACGCGTATGAGGTCAGCCAAGTCAGAGCACATGACACGCGCAGGCCGAGCCCTTTTTCCGAATTGCATTTGCTGACATACAGATTGCAGATGCTTTCAGCCCGGGATGCAAGTTAGCCGTGCTTGCGAGGATGGCCAACTTGGATTCCGATCGGCAAGAGGCTCGTTCACTTTGTCTCGTTCTTTCTCAGTTCTTGCGCTTCAACTTTCCCTGGTACTTCGCTCCAGGCTGGCAGGTCTTGAAAGAGAGCACATGGGATAGTGTCAGATAGTATCTAGTTTGTATTCGCAGTTCGTGTTCCTCGCAGCCGTTCCAGCTCCAGACTTCCCATTGGAGCTGCCAAATGTCCATGTCCGAAACTTGATATCAATTTGTCCGGGCAAGGCCTGCCTGCGTCTGCCTTTTGAACGCTGGTGCGGTTGCCTTGCTCATTGGTGTTGTGCGTGTTTGCTTGTATGCAGGGAGGGAGTGGCAACGAGTCGAGACACCGCATTGCTCGGAACATCAGCTTGTATCTCTCAGGAAAACTGAACCCAACGTGAAGGCCAGAGGTGCGCATTGAACTGCCTCTTGGCACAGGGAGTCTCCAAAAAAACGAAGGGAACATAAAGGAAACCTTTCTTGAAGGTCCCCTATTTTACGACATACCCACACGGCTTTGTATGCAGTGATTCGAGCCTTTGGCCAAGACGCTGGCAACTGAGGCATGAAGATTTGTCTACTACTGACGGTGGCTCTAGCCTATTCCACAGAGCAAGACTGGGCTGAGGCCGAGAATGGGGCTGCAAAATTTGAAGCGAGAATGTGGGGGATCCACAGTTTTCCTTGTATTTCCTTCCAGCAAGGGATGATTTGCAGGAGACGGCCGAGGAGATACTGCCGGATCTGCTTCTCTTGCTGCAGGCCTAGGGCTAAGCCTAGGACCCTAGGACCCCCCCCTGACGTGGAAAACGCAAGAAAGAGAAAGGGGGATCCAGCTACGAGTGTTGGAGCGCTTCAGGTGCAGCAGCGGCTTACCAGGTCCGAGGCGGCGCGAGAGTTTTGTTGACACGGCCAGCTTCATGCTTCAGCTTTTCAGCTTTTCAGCTTTTCAGCTTTTCAGTTAGGTGAACGTTTCGTCTTTGCCTTCCTTGCCTTCGTTGCCTTCAGCCGAGGAGCATCGTCGTGAGAAACATTTTGCACCTGACGGCTTGACAGGGAAGCCAAATAGAGGGTTGCAGGCAAGTTGCAAGTTTTTGAGGCATTTCCACATCGGCCGCTTCCTTTGCGCTTCTTTTGAAACGGAAGGATTCCTTGCCGAAGCGCGCTGTGGCGAAGCACGATGGGCAGGTGGGCTGGGGAATGGGAATGACATCACTCGCTCAGTTTCAAGCATTGCCCACCGGCGTTTTGAGCCGTTGCATTGGTGACGCATCTAGCCTGCCGTTTCCTCGAATAAAGCTTCTTGTTTTCTTTTTCTGTTTGGTTTCCCTTTTAACACAGCCACATAGCGGGTTCCTAATTTGGAACACACTCCATTTCAAGATTGATTGATGGCTGGTGCAAGGGTAGGATCAGAACTTGCCTTTGCTTTTTGGCTGGGACCCAGCTGCCAATTTCTCAGAGTACGGCATGCAATTTCGGGTGCACGGACTTGTGTGCACCTGTGCGGATCTGGATGCCCTCTTGTGGTGTTGCTGGACCGGAAACAGGACAAACGTCTGCTGATGTTGTCTTTTCCACATGTAGTGCTTGAAGCAAGATATGAGGCAGCTGCCAGCACTTTGCATGCACTTGCAGTCCAAGCTTATACGTATTACAAGACAGCAGAGTGAAAAAAGGCTGGGTATTTTTGGCTCGCCCTGGATAGTTGTAGTCCACTGGGTATGAAGCCGTAGGCAGAAGGCATGATGTTTGTAAGCCGACTGCTGCGAGGCATTGCAAGGTCAAGAGGAGTCTCTGAAGCACTGGTCCGCCGCGCTTCTTCTCAGCAGGACAGTTCCGGCCAAAGGCCCTGTTGGAGCGCTTTTTGATGCACACTGTCACAGGAGCACTTCGCGACTCGTGTCCTTTCGACACTCCCCAGACATCATCGGGGAAATCGCCAGGGGCCGTGCTGTGCATTCGAACGCGCAGAGCCGCGCTTTGTTTCCTAAGGTGCTTACCAGCGTCGCGCTGCTGGTCTGGATTTTCCTGATGATGCTTCCTGGCACAAAGGAACTCCAGCAACTTTGTGCGGACATCTCTGCAAGAAACGCATTTGACAGGCGAAAGGAGTCAGGAGTCAACCAAAGGGCACCAAAAACTGGCCATTGAGTCTCACTAGTGCTTTCACGATCCCAGGCTGTGCAGCTGGCTGGGCTTTGGAGGCAAAGACAGACGAGAGATTCGAGAGCTGGCTTTTTTGCCACCCATTTATCAGGGGTCTCCCACATTTCGAGACACGTGCCAGGCAGAGAATATCTGTTTGGTTGCGACGTAGAGAAAGGACCCATAGTTTAGGAATCGTTGCCATTCCCCAAAGAATGACCCTGGCAGATCATGCAGGAAAAAGACGGGATGGGCTGTCCTGACTTTTGCTGCAGGCACCAACCGATTGGAAGAGCACCGAGAGATGGAGCGTGCAGAGAAGCATCTGCCACCGGCAGCTTGGATAGGCAATGGCTCAACTTCAGGGCAAGAAATGGGGCAGAGACTGGACGGGACATGGGTAACTGGGGCAAGCAACGCATGTTGAAGAAGATGTCTCTTCCAGATCCGCTGAATTTCATTTCCGCTGAATTTCATTTCCGGGGTTTGCCGGAGCCAAGGAAATACACGATCCGATCGATGCTGCCGCTGCTCAGCTTCGCGAAGCTCAGAAGAAGCAGGCTGGGCTCTCCGAAGCGAAGCTGGGCCGAAGCCTTGGGGCAATCTCAAAGGTGCCGCTCTGTTCATATCCCGCACT